CAGTTTTTGGCCAGGGCTGGGTTTGAACCCGCCACCTCCGGCATATGGGGCTGGTGCCCTACTCCTTTGAGCCACAGGCACCACCCTTTGTTGTTCTCTTTCACTTCCTTCGTTAAGTATTCTCCTAGGTATTTTATTTTCTTTGTAGTTATTACTATTATTTTTTAATTTCAAATTAATATGAAGGTACAAATTTTTTTGGCTACATTGTTTTCACTTCCAAGGTAAAGTTCAAGTTGTAGTTGAGCCCTTCACATTGTGCACATTGGGTTAGGTGGCCAATTGCCACCCAATACCTATCAACCTATGAATGGATTAACAAACCATGGCATATGTATGCCATAGACCCTATTCAGCCATAAGAAAAGATGGAATCTTTGTAGTTATGGTAATGGAGTTCTTTTTTTTTTTAGTGCTATGGCATCATAGCTCACAGCAACTTCCAACTCTTGGGCTAAAGCAATTCTCTTGCCTCAGCCTCCCAAGTAGCTGGGACTACAGGCGCCCACCACAACGCCCAGTTTTCTTTATGTAGAGACAGGGTCTCACTCTGGCTCAGGCTGATCTTGAACCTTCGAGCTCAGAGCAATCCACCCACCTCGGCCTCCCAGACTGCTAGGATTATAGACAGGAGCCATGACGCCTGGTCTATAATTGAGTTCTTGATTTGCCTGTGAACCTCTAAGATCATGACTCTGTGTTCTCACTGTTTCCCTATTGTTGTCATAGGGACACCGTGGCAGGCCAGCCTACAGTGGGGCAGTCTGCCCAGGTCCAGTGTGAGTGGCTATGCTGGCATTCACCCCACCTAGGCCCATCCACAGGGGGGCTTCCCAGGTGGATTTGGCAGCAGCTGCACTGTGCAGATGGCAGGTGATGGGCACTGAGGGCACATGTTCCTCCCAGGTCCCCTGGGAAGTGTGGCTAGGGAAGGCACCCAGGCTTTGGCAGCAGGTGCTGGGTCTGTGGGCTCTGCCCTTCCCTGGCAGTAGTGGGGGCACATAGCACCTACCCGTGAGATATACAAGAGTGCCTGGCCTCCCTGCTCCCTCCCCTATTTTATTTAATTCTTACCAAAAAAATTAGAAAGACACAGAACCTGCTTCAGTTTCCCTCTAAGGTCAGGATAATAATAGCACCTACTTCACTGGGCTATTATGAGAATCAGTGAATAATATAGACTTACTGCTCAAAACGGTGCCTGGCATATAGTAAACACCCAAAACAATATTGGTTCTCTGATATTTCATTTCTAAACATTCTAGTTGGTTCTTAGTTCTTTCACAAATCTGAGTTTATTTTTTAAAAAATTCTTTGTTCTTATCTCATGTTTTAAATTCCTTTTGTCTTTAATCTTGCTAACATAGTTTTTCTTCACTAGGACTGTTACATAAAATGTTGCCAATTGTTATGTCTGATTCCTACAAGGATTGTTTGGTCATGTTTTTTTCTAATTAAAAGACTTACTATCTGCTATGACTTCACATACATGCTAGCAAAATAAATCTTGGTCCTGGTAGTTAATTTTTGAAATCATAGATTATTAATTAGAGATGGCTGAGAATCCAAACCAGAGAATAATGGTGCCCTTATTGTATTGTGAAGATACTATCCATCTTTTCTGGATTCTTATCTTTAATCTTATTTATTAGCAGTTTTGGCCTAATTCCTTGCTGGAAGCAATTGTGAACTACATACGCTTACATGTTTTGCATTCTTGGGTTATGGGCCAATTACCTCTTTTCTGAGTGTTGGTTTCCTTCTCTATAAAAGGGGATGATACTAGAGGGGTGTGAAGTTTCATCATTGTGCAAGCACTCTAACTATGTCAACTTTTATTAGTGTTTTCTTGGTACTAAGCTTTTCCCAGTAACATTTCTATTCTGCAGTCAAATGCAGCCTAATATTACAACCATCACAACAGTGTAATCACTATTAACTCCTTGTCCATTCCATCATGCCCCCCAATCCACCTCTCTGGCCCACGCATCCTCATGTTCCTGCATTTCTTTGTTGTGTAAAACTCCAGCTAGATGAAGTCTCCCAGTCTCAACCACCCCATTTCTTTTTGCCTCTGACCAAATCATCTCTCCTCTTTCAAAGCTCTATTAAAGCTCCGTGTCTTTTATGAAGGCTTTTGACCTAATCCTTCTTTTCTGAGTTCAGAAGCCTCAGTAGGTTGTGTCACTGAGTGTCACTTGCTCAGGATTTGGTGGCTTCATTCATGGTATGGCCATGGGTGTCGTCCTAACTAGACTGAACGTTTTCCTAAAGGAAAAGAACATGGTGTGTAGCCAGTATGAGTATACTACCACCAGGTTCAAGTGGGGCTTCTTACATATTTTAAATTTTTGGCATATGGTTGGTAGGAATTGGGGCCCAGCTTGTGGTTGGTTGTGTCCCTCCATAGAGGATGTCTCTATGCCAAGTGTTCCTTGGTTAACCAGCCTGGGACCACTTTGTTAATTTTTCATCCTCACATGCTCACATGAGAGAAAAACTCAATTGAATCCATCAAGGAGAAAAAGGAAGAGGGGGTTGGCGGGTTCCTTCCCAGTGGGAACACTGCTGCGGTATGGCACGCTTCCTGTGCAAGGGACATAGCTATAACTTAGGCTTTGCCCTACCAATGCAATGCGGCCTAATTGTATGTACTCTTACATTGATCAGAAATTAAAAAATTTTTTTTTCATCCTGAATTATTCTGTTAGTGTAAATTTCAACCTCCAACCCAAGGGAGTCTTGTAGTTATGAATTTCCACAAGTAGGAGCTAATGGAGGGATCAAAGCTGGCAGGACTAAAAAAGGAAAAAAGGGGAGAAGGGATGAACTCTTGAATTTCATGGATTATGTTTATTGTCACACCGTTTGAATCCAGGAGCGGAAGCTGGGATGTGTGATTCCGTCACCACGTTTTTCAGGGCACAGGAGGGAAAGGAGGGAAGGCTTGTTGTTCCCACTGTACAACAGAAATTGAAGCCCAGGAGAATAGCAGAGCCGGGTGTAGGGTCTCTGGATTCTCTGTTCTATCAGGAGGAGATAAGCTGATGGGTATTCCTGAGAGGAAGGCAGAGTCTCTGCCCATACCGTTCTACCCCATTTCCCCAAACCTATAGGTCTCTCTTCTTCCTCAGCAGTCCAGGCCCTGTCTCAGTCTGTTACAGAAGAAAAACCAACCCATTTTTTATTTGTGAGTATTTTAAAGTTAGAGAGCACTTTTATACCTAGCTTCTTGTTTTGGCTTGGAGGACAGGCAAAACATGTACTCTTATTCCAATTTTACAGGTGAGGAATCTGAGCAGCAGGGGCTCAGATTGGCACAGCGGTTGGCTCCAAAGGCCACACAATTTGAGTGGTGCATCTGGGATTCCAGCTGACGACCGTCTACCTCCCTGGAGTCTGTTTTTATTGAGGTAAAATTCACATGATATTTGTGCACAATTAATCCTCTCCACGTGAACAACTCAGGTGCATTTAGTGCATTCACAATGTTATGCAGCCACCATTTCTATTTTCAAAACTTTTCATTACCCTCTTCCCAGGATTTTATGCAGAATGAAAGACACGACCCGGGGGAGGCTCAGGGCCTTGCCCCTTGTCGGGGTTAAATGACTGGCCAGCTGGTACTTTCAGATTCTCTCTAGCTTTCTCTCAGAAACTTAGTAATTTAGAAGTAGGAATTCTTTCCTAGACATAGCACCTTGAGAAAATCTGGTTGAGGATAAAAGAGGTATTCATGTTCCAGTCTTTTTTAATTTTTTTAAAGGACATGTCAAAATTTTTCTCTTCTAGGAAACTTTCCCCAAGAACCTCCCTTATTCTCAGACACAGTTATCTGCTGGGGTCCCAGGACTTAATGACACACTGTCATGTGGCTTCTAGTTCATTGAAAGCATTTGTCACCTTGGCCAGGCCGTGACATGCACAGTGCTCTGCAGGGTCCTCGGTACAAAGCAGGTATTAGTGGGAATGTACTGGACTATACGGCGTGGTGGCCAGCCAGCTCCTGGTTGTGACCAGAATTTTTCCTGCCTTTGAAGCAGTGGTTTTGGTGGCTGAGGACATGCCCATGGTGGTGCAGAGATGGAGCCTGATGTCCAATCTGGGCTCTGGTCTGCCATGGCTCGGGCAGCTTTGTGGGGGGGAGGCCACACAAGGCTCCCATGCCTGTGCTGTGTTACAGATGAAAGGCGAGTGCTTCAAGCAGGCTAACCCAAGAATAAAATGGCTTTGGATTTTATTTAGATTTGCACACAGGCCTGGAAGCAGACTGGGAACCAAGAAGTTGTGACCATCCCTTTGGCTTCCTATGTTACCAGGTGTTTTAGCACATCTGTCGTGGTGTCCAGGAGCAGCTGAGGACCACAAACCAGGCCTAGGCGCCTGCAGCCTCACTGAGGATCTTCCCTCCGGCAACCTCTTATGCCCTTCCAGACCATTGTCCCGACCACACCCAACACAAGGCCGCCTCCTGCTGCCACTGGCACTGCCCAGTAGAACGTCGTGGGGCCTTTTCCAGCCTGGTCTGGGAGTAGCTGACTGTTCCGCAGAGTGTAGAGGTAAGGGCTCTCCTGTGGAGGAGGGAAGGGTTAGAGGGGAAGGGCCCTCATGAACCATCCGTCTGTCTGTCTGCCTCGCTGAGACTCGCTGAGTCCCCAGCCCTGACAGAGCACAATAACCTCACATGTTTTCACGGCGCTGCCCTTTTGGAAAGCTCCTTCCTTTGCACCAGGTCCAAACCTTCTGTATGAGGATGGGCATCTATGTGGGTTAGAGCCGTGGTCCACTCCTGCCTATAACCTCCTTTGGGTTTCTCACTAGTATCTCCTTTCCTGTTAAATCTGATGAGGGGAACTGATGGGTGACCCACCATCTCATCCCTGGAACACCCATGGGTCAGTGAAGGTCAGTGTGGAAGGACAGGTTTGGTAGTAAATTAAAAGAACCAAAAACTGGGAAGGGCTGGGAGGGGAGGTGTTGGGGCTGCCTCCCTGGTTCTTTCCCTCCTTCCATCTCTCTGCTCTCCTTTCTCTCTGGGACCCTTAACTGAGTGCCTGCTGTGTCCAGCCCGTGCTAGGAGCTGTGATGAGCACCTACCTATGATGAGAGTTAAGATGTGATATCTTCTCTCATTGCCCAGTAGGGAGATGGGAATGTGTGGGCAAACAATCACATCATCAAATAGAATGTGGTCTGTCTAGGGAGAGGCACAAAGAGAAAAGGGAGACCGACAGGGGTGGAGCTGTAGCCCCGTGGGGCTTTCATCTGGGCCTGGACAAGGTTCATGTTCTCCTGGGCAGGTGGGAGAGGAGCCTCCAGGTCAGCAGTTTTCGACCTGTGGGTTGCGACCCACAGAAACTGTAATAAAGGGCCACAGGATTAGGAAGGTTGAAAACCACTGCCCTAGGTGGAGCAGATGGCAGAGTGAGAGCGCAGAGGTGAGCAATCCTCTGCCAGTAGCGTAGAATGCAACAAAGGAGGCGAACCCCCCTGTCTGGGCTCTGGTCAGGAGGCAGTGGGGACTAGGTGAGGATTTCAAGCAGCCTTGATAAGACAAGTCACTTTCCAGGAAGGCCAATCTGTATCTGCTAGCATGTGCAGGGTGGATGGGAAGGGGACAGACAGGGTAGCTGGGGAGAGGAGTCGGGGATCTCTGTCTGTGGGCCAGGTGAGGGCCGAGGGTGGGGTGAGGAGGAAGAGGAGTGTAGGCTCTGGGAACACACACTGGGTCTTATTTGTCTTTGTCCCTGATCTCCTGCGCCCAGTACAGTGCCTGGCATGGGAGAGCCCCTGGACACATGTTCAAGAGCAAGGGTGCGTCAGAGCCCGCAGAAGTGACAGGTGATTCAAGACACCTGGCCAGGGCTCCTCGTGGCCTCCCTGGCTGCCCTGAGGAGCTGAGAATTTCAGTGGCAGTAAAGACATGAGATTTGAGCGCACGGCAGTGAGTGGGGAGCACTTGATAAAGCCTGGGATACTTCATGCCTCCGGGTGGCAGGATGTTTACTCACAGGAGAGGGGCACTTGAGTTTGGCTCGGCTGTGGGTGAAGTTGTTGGAGGTCGTCTTATGGCCCACTGGTTCCAGCTAAAGAGACAAAAAGGACACCTTGATTCTCTTCAAAGGGGGGAGAGACTTTCCTGTTGGAGGAGGTGGGTCACCCCAGACTCAAACCTGGCAAAGTGGCCATGATGCCAGGATGGGGGTGTCTTCTAACTCCCAGAGGGACCAGCCTGAGTCTGTCAGAGCAGGGCTGGACCCTAAGTCTGTGCTCCTGGATTTGGCAGGGAGGACACTGAGGCCCAGGAGAGACTGACTGGTCCAGAATCCACAGAGAGATTGTGGACGGGCTGGGACTAGAACCTCCATTTCTGGCTTCGCTCGTGGGTGGCTGTGATTGCAGACACTGTATTTCCAATTTTATAAAATGATGATAATCATATTTACCAACTTCTTGAAGTGCGTGGGGCTAGTCAGTTTCAGGAAAACTTTGAAAACATATTGGTTACCATGACATCATTACTACACTTAGCTTGTCAATCTTAGGAAATTAGAGTTTCTCACTTGAGCCACTTCATATGTTTCTCACATGGATGAAAAGATTTCCTTGAAATATCCCTGGGAATAACTGTGGCTCAGTGGGGGTTCTGCTGAACACTTTTAATTCTAGGATCCTCTGAGAATGAGCCAGAAGCTGCCACTCCCACCTCCTGGCATCAGGTGGCCAGCACCTCACGGACTCCTGCCACCATAACCTACTGGCAGACTCGGTCCCAAATGTCCAGCTTGAAGGTCCACTTTGCTTCCCACCTGTCCCTGACTGCCTGGCACTGCTGATGGGTAAGTAAAAGCATGGTGTCTGAGCTGGGGTCCACATGGGGCCATGACCTTGCCTTCTGCTGTCTTAAGCCTTTTATATCTGCTCCTTAGTAACAGGATTGGAGGAGGAAGGGCAGCTGTGGGCCTGGGAGAGCTGTAGGGCTGAGCACAGCAGGCAGATCACTGGGTCCTGGCTTTGCAGATAATGAGCTGTAAGGTGCCGGGAGGGCTAATCAATATCCCCGAGGGTAGGGACAGACACAACCCTGTCCTAACATCAGTCAAGAAGATGACAGGAAAGCATATGTGATCGAGGGTGGCTTACCTATGTAAAAGATAGTACTACTGCCACTTTCTTAGGGCTGAGGAAACGCAAGCCAATTGTAACAGAACTACCTGGGGACAGAATGGATGCTAAGGGTCAGGTTAGTCCCAGTGATATTGCAGGAACCCAGGGACTAAGTCGCACAGAGGAAGGTCACAATTGCACGGGCTTGATGAGCACATCTGTCTCTCCCAGTCTGCCTCCTTCCCATCATTGCACAGTGTGCCCTGCTGTCCCCTGCCATCCCTTGATCCCATGTCCCGCTCCAGCTACCATGGCTGGTACTTTTCATAACTTTCCGGAACAGCCATCTCAGTGGCTGGCTGCATCTCCACTGAAGTGATGGGTGCAGCATCCATCACTTCATGGCAGCTCTGGTCAAGGTCATCAAAGACCTCCATGTGGTCAGAGCCAGTGGTCACTCTTTGTCTCCATCTCACTTGGCTTCTCAGCAGCATTTGTTAAAGTGGACTTCTCCTTCTTGAACTGCTCTTGGCTTCTCTTGGCTCCCTGAATATCACATTCTTTTCATCCTCTCCTACTCCCCCTCCAACCCTCCTGCCTCTTGCTGGCATCAAAAGTTGGAATGAACTTCTATGGTTGGGTAGTTGCCCTCTACTCTTTTCTGCTCTTTTTTCTCTAGGAGCTCTCAGTCAGTCCTATGGTTGAGAATACCACCTCTGTGCTAATAATCCTACTTTTTTTTGGGTAATCTCCAGCCTTGACTATCTCTAAACTCCAGACATCTGGATTTGACAGCTTATCTGACACCTCCCTGGGATGTCTGGAAGGCAGTTCACACTTCCCATGTCCAAAATAGAACTCTTCATTTTCCCTCCCAAGTCAATTTCTCTCTACCAGCTCAACCACCCACCCAATTTCTTAGACTTCAAACCAAGAAGCCATCCTTTATCCTTCTTTCCCCTCATCCACCAGCCAGTCCAAAACATATCCTAAATCTGACTGCTGCTCTCCTCCACTGCCATCCCCGACCCCTGCCTCCCTCACCTGGACACCAGCAGCCTCCTGATGATCTTTCCAGGTCCACCCCTGCTTCCTCCCAGCCCGTCTCTACACACAGTGGAGGTTGAGCCAAAGCACATTGCTCCCCTGCTCAGAATCATCTGAGGACCTGGACTCTGCCCATCTCGTTGACCTTGTTCACTTCCCTCCAGCCGCACTGGCCTTTGAGTTCCTCAGACACTGCAAGCTCATTCCTGACCCCAAGCCCATGCGGGTTCTATTTCTTCTGCCTGGAACACCCTGGCCTTGGCCCTCTGCCTGCCTGGCAACCTCTTGATATTCATTTCTCAGCTCACCTGTTGCCTCTTTAGTGAGGCCTCCTCCTCTCTGTTACCATCAGAAATTACCTTGTTGATGTGTCTACAGACTGTACATTCTGTGAGAACAGAGATGTTCTTTCCTTTTTCCCTGAATCCCCAACAGGGATTACTACCCACCACCTGCCAGTGCTCAGTAAATAGTTGTTGAATGAATGAATAATGGATGAAGTTAGAAAGACCCGAGCAGAGAAGCTGAGGCGGGGGGCAGGCTTGGAGCTGGCCATAGGAAACAGACTGTCATTCCTAGAACCAGCCTTTCCTCAGGCAGGCACTGTAGGTACCAACCGTGTAGCAGGCGACAGGGCAGGCAGGGCGTGGTGGAGCTGGGTGGGCTGCTGGTTTGCTTGGGGGATTCAGAGGTGGCTTCCTGCAAGAGTTGGCCCTGAGTTGAGTGTGGAGGTGAGTGAGAAAGTGAGAAGGGCAGTCCCAGACAAGGGGGAGAGAGAGAACACACAGAGGCGTGCACCTGCAGAGGCGGCAGGAGTGGCAACCACATGTTAATGAGGTCCCAGGAGTTTGAAAGTGGGGAGTGACCTGGTTAGCTTCTCTTTTATATAGATCACTTGATTGCCCTGTGGAGGACAGATCTGAGGCAGTGATTCATAAACCTGCACATTAAAATCATCTGGGGTGCTTTCAAAAAGTACCCAGACCCAGGTCCCACCCAGACCAACAAAGCCAGAATCACTGGGGACTGGCCCTGTTGAGCATTGGAATATTTTAAGTAAACTTTTTTATCAAAGCTAACCTACACCTACAAATGAGTATAAGTCCTAAGTGAGCAGCTGACAAATTTTGATAAAGGGAACACGTCACAATCCAGATAAAAACCCAGAATATTACCAGTACTCAGAGGCCCCCTTCCCGCCTTCTCCCAGCACTGTCCACCGAGCAAAGGAGGCCATCCTATGATCTAATACTGATAAACGGAAGGAAAATAGACCATTGTGCCAATTTCTGGCACCTTTTGCTTTGGAAATGTATATATCTATTTGCGTGTGAAGTCTGTTTCGTCTCATCCCTGTAAGGTAGTCCACTGTATGAATGTACCCTGGTTTATTTATCCATCCTGTTGGTGGACATCTGGGGACCTCCCAGTTTGGGGTTCTCATGAGACTAGTGTTGCTATGAAGATTTTCACATGTATCTTGTGGTGGACACATGTATATCCTTATGTTGGGATATACCTAGAAGTGGAATTGTTAGGTCACAGAGGATACACGTGTTCAGTGTCATTAGAGGCGGAGTTTGACAATTAAGTTTGTGAACTCATTCTAGAGAAAGTGCTGAATATCCCTACGGACATCTTTGAAGTTCTCCTCTGGGGAAGGTGTGCACTGACACCAGCACTTAGTTCATACTTCAGAACCATTTTGGAACTCTTTTTCTAGAATGGACATCAGAGCTGTTATCGTATGAGGCCTGACAATGAAGTTCATGAACTCGTAGTAGAAAAATTGCTTTGGAGGGTGGACTAGGTCCTGGCATCAGGGCCTGGCTTCCCAAGGGGAGTGTGTCAAAGGGGATCAGCATGAGATGAAGCAGTGCGGTATGTAGCACTTTTTCTAGGATGAGTTCGCAAACTTTATTATCCGACCTCGTATACCAAAGAGTTTTCCAATGTGGCTATAGGCACTAATTGTTTTTAAAAGTCCCAAGATAACCCTCATATACAGCCAGCACTGAGAATTGCTGTTCCAAGGGTTGTAAGTCTGGAGACAGGGTTGCCAATTAGGAGGCTGGAGTTGTCCCCTGACAACTACTAGCTGGGAGCTGGGTTTCCACAGGAGAGCGAGCAGGAAGCAGTGGAGGAACAGGCCTTAGGAAAGAGAAAGAAAAACTTTTTATAAGAAGACAAAGGAGGGTAAAGGAAGAGGGAAACATCCTCTGGTGCTGTTGGTACTTCTGGATTCGGCCTTTGCAAAGATCTGTGGAGTAGGGGGCAAGAGGTAAAATAGCTTCAAGTGTGTCTGTGGTCCCGAGAGGGCACCCTGAGAACTCCAGCCAGAGCCTGCAGACGCTATGTCATAGGACTCTAATTAGGAGACATGAATTCACCAGTTATACATGTGCTTATCAGGGTGGGAGCAGGGGAGAATGGTGGTGTGGCCAGGACACTAGGGAGGCCTTGGGAAACCTGGACTCACAGGGACCTGTGTCACTAATTGGCTGTGTGATGCTGGGCAAACTGCTTCACATCTCTGTACTGGAGTTACAGAATATTCTGGCTAAGTGAGCTCTCAGATCTGTTCCAGCTCTTGCAGCCTGTTTATTTTATTTTATGTCTCTAGGGGTGAAATTCCAGCAAAAAGATGATCTGAAAAGTTGGCATGATGTTATAGCTTTGTGTCTAAGATGGCTTTAGATGAAAACATTGGGCTTTGTAATTATTTCCCCAAATTACACAGCACAGGGTAAGACTTTGGTTTTGCTTTGCTTTTGTTATTTTTAAATTCGGGGTATGTCTGAGATGATAATGGCTGGGGAACGGCCGGCAGTCTCATTCCCAGTACAGCTCTGGGCAGGGTCTACCTTCTGCTTTCACGTCTAAGCTCCTCCTACATGTTTTTATGAAATAAAATCCTCTCACCTGTGTGAGTGGGAAGCACTACTGAGCTGCTTTGGAAAAGAAGGCCAGAGCTACACTGTTAATTCACCCTGAAAGAGACCAGTGGACTCTGTCGAGTAGAGTCATCAATATGGCATTCAAGCTCCAGGACTATCTGGGAGGGTCTTGGCTATAAGCAGGCTTGGAAGACCATCTGGATAGGAAGGCTGCACCCTGATGAAAAAGCTGAGAAGAAAAGGCGCACCTGGCTGTTGCGGATTCCCCTGACATCTCAGGGGAAAATGAGGTGGGGAATAGATACCTCTTTGGGGAGCTTTATTAAAAGGAATAAAGTCATATGCTGCAGGCACTGAAGGACAATGAAGCCTTCAAAACGAATCCACAAAAGAAACATAACTACTCTCAGAAATGACACCCTGAAAGCTTTGATTTTAAAAATTATTAGGGGGGCTGGGTGGGGCTTGAAAAATATTTTGGTTGTAATTCAGAGTCCTGGGCTGAAACAGCGTGATGGAAGTTTTAGGAGTGGGCAGATACGTGATGTCAACAGGAGGAAGCTCTTAGGACAACAAAAGTAGAGGAAAGCTGAGTCTGTAATTAAATAGGCCAAGGATGAAACCAGTTTACACGCTGTTCTCAAAAGAAGAGGCTGCTAGAGAGGAGGAGGTGTAGCGAAGGAGAAAGTCAATATTGTGAGTCAGCGAGGGAGATGCTGGGCAGATTGGAGGACGAGCTGGCAGGTGTGGGAATGTTTGCCTGGTGGTGTTTGCCCGAAACTGCAATAACAGGCGCAGGAGAGCAGACTGTGCAGTTGCCATGGGACAAAGGAGAGACACACAGGTCAGGCTGGGGATGTGTTTACCTGCCGAATCTAGATTAAAAGAAGCCATTGGACTGGGAAGGCATTTCATTTGCTGTGTGTGGGAGTGTCCAGTTATGGGGGTGACAGGTCAGTAGCCAGTGGCCGGATGCAAAGAGCAGAAACAAGGCCCAGGTCAGATGTCTCTGGACTATATGATCATTTCAGAAAGTTTCCTTCTCCCCCATCAGGAAGGACTGGAATAGGTGGGGAAACAGGGCCTTTCACTTTTTTGTTTGTTTGTTTTTGAGACAGAATCTTACTATGTCACCCTTGGTAGAGTGCTATGGTGTCACAGCTCACAGCAACGTCAAACTCTTGGGCTCAAGTGATTCTCTTGCCTCAGTCTCCCAAGTAGCTGGGACTACAGGCACCCACCACAACGCCTAGCTATTTTTTTGTTGTAGTTGTCATTGTTTAGCAGGCCCTGGGCCGGGTTCAAACCCACCAGCCCCAAACAGGATGTATGTGGCTGGCACCCTAACCACTGAGCTACGGGTACTGAGCTGGGTTTTCACTTTTTGTTGTTTAAAGAACTGATGTTGAGCCTAGAGTGCTGGAAGGCTGACCATGGTGCTGGGCGCCACGTGATCTTATTCATTTTTTGAGATCTGTGTCATTTTCACTGTTTTATAGATGTTGGCACAGATGGCCAGAGAGATCACTCACCTGAGACACGGTC